GCCGTCCGCCGCTCCATTCACTTGGCTGGCAGAAGTGGGGTTTATGACTTGTACTGCAGCCAGGCTCTAGGGGGTGCTGTTCTCGGAGTGGCTTCACCCGGCGAGGAGACAGACGGCTTCCATCTTATATACAGTCTATGGTAGCAACTTGTCCTTCTGATAAGTTGTAGCTGTATTTGAGCAGTCGCTCACGGTCCAAAGTTTTTTCCTATATGACATGTAGTTTGTGAGCAACAAGCCTTTTATGGGCACTAGTGAGATATCAAGATTCCTTTTCAAAGTGAATGGAGCTGCTGAAAACATGGAGTGGTCTCCATATTTGGAGCTTGATTGTGAAGTCATACTTTGAGGTAGAAATGTGATTTGAACTCTGACCTTTAGATGAGACCTGAACCCTTCAACCTGCGAAAACCGTATTTCAATATCTTACGGTTTTCCTACAAAGTGAGTTTGTTTGGGCCAGTCCTGTTCTAAGCAGGCAGAGGCTTAGTGAGGCAAAATCTGTGTCACAGGTGAGCTGCAGGTTGCAGAGGACTCCCACTCAGAGCACAGGGCCCGCCCACCTGGTCTTGATTAACAGCTGTCTTCCAGACACCACAACACAGACACAGCCAGATTGCCTTGAGTTTTATGTCAGATTCATGACAAAGGCCCTAAATCATCAACGCTTTGACATATCAGCATGGTATTTTACACGTCCCCTCGTGACCCCACTCTGAAGAATGTCCCACTCTGCAGCCACCTTGGATGACCCCACCATCCCCAAACAGGAAGTAGCCCTTAACACATTAATGCCCTCATGTATCTCCACCCAAAACATGGCTTAAATGTGAGTAAATCAGTGGCAAGCAGCAGTGAATCGGCAAGCAGGTAGGCACATATCAAAATTTCCCTGGAATTTTCTAGTTATTGATTAATTCCTGTATTTAATTTATGCCTGGGTGGCAGTAGCTTTGGAAGTAGAGTGATAGTCCAACAAATGTATCCCTGGTCTGTCTGCTGTGTCCTTGGGCAAGACACTTAACCTATTTTGCTCTCAGTGTTTGTCCTTCACTGGTGTGTGGTTGATGTGTACGTCGCTTTGGATAAAAGGCGTCTGCTAAATTATATTGTAAACTTGTCTAAATGTCTATGTTATGTATTGTGTCGCATCGTGTCATAGTTTCTTGTCACTCCCTCAGTGATCCCCACTTATACATTTTATAAAATGGATATTGATCATTTGAAATCTAGGTAGAGCAGAAATCCAAACACAGCATCCGGGACACTTGGTGTGGATATTAAATGTTTGATCTGTTGTCAAAAGTGAGCTGCTTGCATGCAGATATTTAAACATATAAATCTCTATATTTTTGCTAACAAGAGTCAAAACATCCTTATTGGGGATTCTGGCAGCTTTTTTCATATACACCTAAAACCGCTGATAGAGAAGTAGTCAACACTACAAACATATCCTTTTTTTTTTTTTTTTTTTTTTTAAATTTAACAACAAAACAGAGTGACGACAACAACAGAAACAACAACAACAACAAAAAGATAAAAAATAAAAAATTTACAAACATATTCTTGAACATCTTTGAAACAGGTCTTTTTTTACACATTCTCACCTATCATTGTGGGAGTCTGGGCCACCTATGGAGCAGCTTTGATGTTAAAACATTTCAAAAACCATAATTTATCTTATGTCACCTGTGAAAACACTCATTCAGTACCTTTCAGCCTCTGCCTGAAATTCACTGGCTGCTGTTTTGGCTGCTTTTCAAGTGATACCAGGTTGGACACTTCTTGTGGGTGTTACTTGAGCCTTGTCATCATAAAGTGACCAAAAAGTTGTGCCTTATATTTATTGTCAGAGTCTAGCTGTTAGGCTCCTGTAATGGCCATTAGCAGTTAGCTATTGTCACATTAGCTACTGTCATGTTACTTACACCTGGTAGTCCATTATAGATGAAGCCGTCCTAGCTGTTAGTAACCATGGAGACTTGAATCCAGCTTACAGACCTTAAGGCCGTTGCAGTTGAAGGGAGGCAAGAACCATGGTAATGTGGTCCCATATTTTTGACCTGTTCTGGTCAAATTCTGGCTCTTGCATTTTGGATCATTTGAGGATGTGAAAAAGAAGGCTGGGTGATACCAAAATGTAGAGTTGCAAGAGTAGACGAGGGGGATACATAAATGCGTGGATGGCTTTTTCCAGGTCAGAAGTATTAAGAATAAATCTGATTTGGAGATATTGCAGAGTTGCATGAAACTTGGTTTTACTACCCCATTTATTTGCTTATCAAACTTTAATCCCAAATTGAGTATAACTCCAAGGTTTTTTCGCATGAGATTTTATGGAGAGGGTGAATGAGCCAAGATGAGGAGAAATATTGTCTGTCAAATGCTGTGGACCTAAAGTTTCACGCCTGTACCGCCATGAACCACCTTGACTCAGTGAGCTTAATTACTTCAGCATCTGCAGTTATAACTTCAGATAATTAGGAAGAGGAGTGAACAGACCAGACAGGAGTTAGCTCAACCATCCAGCTGTTGAAGATACACTCTCTCCCTCTTCTGAGATTGCTCTCTCTCTCCAGTCAGGCTGTGGTTACAGTGTTGTACTTTCATTCTGTGTGGGACGGTTTGGACTGTGTGTGTGCACTATTCACTCTGACCTCCTCCTAAAGAGGTGACTGAGTTTTATTGAACTTTTATTTAGTGTGTTATTTAAATTTTAAGTGTGATAATAAATTTTATATATATATATATGTTACTCTTAACCTACGTGTTTTACAGTGTTGACTTTCTTGTTGTTCATAGCCTTATTTTCCTGAAACACAGACTGTCATGGTGTAATGCTCGGACTGGGATTATTAGCCCCCGACTTGACTGACTGGTTGGTGAGAAGGCAATTTACTGAGCATTGCACTGCTTGACATTTGAGAGCTAACTGAAAGAGCGTGTAACTGACAGCCTGACTGATTGACTGACTGCTCTCACCGTGTTCTCTGTCTGTCCCACACACACACACACACACACACACACACACACACACACACACACACACACATGCAGAGACACACACACGTTTACTTTAGAGTGAGATTGATGTACAGGTTGTCATTATTTGGCATGTTGTCTTCGATGAGGCTCTGGCTTATGTTGTGTGTGTGTGTGTGTGTGTGTGTGTGTGTGTGTGTGTGTGTGTGAGTGTGTGAGTGTGTGTGACAAAGACAGAGGATTAAATTATTGTTAAAATGTCAGCCATTGTTGAAATATCATATCTCCTCACCAAGCATCTTCTTCTCACACATCTGTTGAGAATGTGGCTCTTTTCAGTCACTTCTGAGGAACATTTCATAGCAGTTGTCTGTTTCTCGATCCAAAAATGATGTTATGAAGAACAAGCTATTGGCATAGCTGTATCTGTAACAACAGACACTGGAGTGAAACTGTAATAATATCAAAAAGAACTACTGTTGATTTTCTGGTGGTTTGTTTCCAATGGAAAGCAAGAAAAGACTGAGAAACTGACCCAGAAACTGGCAGAAAGAGACAACCACGGGTTGAAGATAGCACAGGTTGGTAACACTCAGGGTTAGCGTAAGACTCGTTTTCAGCCCTGGATTTTCCTCTTCAGACTGGCCCACCCTAAATCATGACCTATTATTATTAAATCATTGTAATTATAACCTTACAGGTTGAGTCTACAACAGCTCACCTGTTCCTTTCATACTGACTGGAGCACTGCCCTCATCACTGCTGACTCCTGGCTTTGCTTCTGACACGAAATCATTTTAAAATGGTCACAATTGTCAGCCTAAATCTACCTTTTTTACAAATTCTTCTGATCGATTCAGGTCAGATAATTCCTTTAGCATCTCAGGGCACTTTTCATACAGAGCAGGTCTACACCATACTCTTCATTATATTAATTCTAATAATATTCACTCAATGAGCAGTCCTACCTGCCCACTCGGGACTTGTGGGTTCATGGCTGGTACTTATGCTGGATCTTGCCTTTGACTTTGAGGGGCTACAAGACAAAGGCTGTGTCTGAAATGGCATACTGCCTACTGTCTACTTACCAACTCAATCAGTACATACTGCATACTGACTACTCAAAGATGATTTGAGTATGCCGCGGCTGCCCGAGCGTTTACACACAGATGCATACTAAATACCCCAGAATGCATTTCGTGCCGGCCAGATGCAGCGTCGAGAAAATGTGAATAGTCCTACCACAAGCTACACAAAACGACTGCATTCCAGACAAACTATATAAATTCATTCAGTAATAATATTTTTATTAATGAGAAAGTAAGTGTTTTCATAATCAACAGCTACGCGACACAAACCAAGCAGCAGTGGATGAAAAAAATAACACAAACACCTGTGTATCCATGGTGATAATGCTATACACCACCTACTTGGCGTGTGATGAGCAGCATAGGACTGCAAAAATGACCAACACACAACATAATTATTATGACCTTGTTCGGTTATTCCTTGACAAATACATAATTTCCAGACTACATTCTTCTCATGTACAATGATAATTTCAGAAACCATCAGGTAGTTCTGCCTGGTGTAGGCTGAAAACCATAGAGCACCGCCATGCAAGAAGACAAAGGCGTCTTTTTTTTCAGGGCAGCTATGTACTTCCTAATGGATTTTTTTTAACCACATATACATTGTCAACTGGAAACTCCCCCGTTTGTATATTCTGAACCATGTGCTCTCTACCAATAATAATTTTTATTAATCAGAGGTCTGTGCTTAATATGAGTGACCACTTTGATGATGTATTCAGAGATGAGAAGATGCTCAAACTTGATGTAATAAATACATCTTTAATAGACCCTTAAATAAAGTCAGTTCATACGAATAGTTAAAAACATTTCCTACAATCCTAATTTAAAATACAAATAAATCTGATAAGAAGATAAAAATATGATAAAATGATAAAAAATTGTGTAATGTATACTGACTAAATATTGTTTATTGATTCATATATATACACTCACCGGCCACTTTATTAGGTACACCATGCTAGTAACGGGTTGAACCCCCTTTTGCCTTCAGAACTGCCTCAATTCTTCGTGGCATAGATTCAACAAGGTGCTGGAAGCATTCCTCAGAGAGCTTGGTCCATATTGACATGCTGGCATCACACAGTTGCCGCAGATTTGTCGGCTGCACATCCATGATGCGAATCTCCCGTTCCACCACATCCCAAAGATGCTCTATTGGATTGAGATCTGGTGACTGTGGAGGCCATTTGAGTACAGTGAACTCATTGTCACGTTCAAGAAACCAGTCTGAGATGATTCCAGCTTTATGACATGGCGCATTATCCTGCTGAAAGTAGCCATCAGAAGTTGGGTACATTGTGGTCATAAAGGGATGGACATGGTCAGCAACAATACTCAGGTAGGCTGTGGCGTTGCAACGATGCTCAATTGGTACCAAGGGGCCCAAAGAGTGCCAAGAAAATATTCCCCACACCATGACACCACCACCACCAGCCTGAACCGTTGACACAAGGCAGGATGGATCCATGCTTTCATGTTGTTGACGCCAAATTCTGACCCTACCATCCGAATGTCGCAGCAGAAATCGAGACTCATCAGACCAGGCAACGTTTTTCCAATCTTCTATTGTCCAATTTCGATGAGCTTTTGCAAATTGTAGCCTCAGTTTCCTGTTCTTAGCTGAAAGGAGTGGCACCCGGTGTGGTCTTCTGCTGCTGTAGCCCATCTGCCTCAAAGTTCGACGTACTGTGCGTTCAGAGATGCTCTTCTGCCTACCTTGGTTGTAACGGGTGGTTATTTGAGTCACCGTTGCCTTTGTCATGACCCGGCTCAAAGGCCATGAAAAAGATTGCGAGGCGTACGGGTTTAAACTTAAAACGAAAGATTTATTAGCAACCAAGATTAAGTAAATAATTGAAAACCCAAGAAAAGAACTAAACTAACAAAGCTTCTAAACTAAAACAAAACATTGTGCCACGAGGATCACTGCCGTGGTGCGCAGCGGAGGAGGGAGAGAGATACACTGATCCTTGATGAGGGCTTTTAACACCTGGTGGAATGGCCAGATCCACGCAGGTGTGGCCAAGCCCACTCACCAACCTGCCAGGGAGAGAGAAAAGACAAAGAACAACAGCAAACCCTGGAGGCCGGAGGCCATCACAGGCAGGAGGCCGTCACACCCCCCTCCATAAAAACGGGGCTCCCATCCCCGGAACCATAAACAATCCCTCTGAAAACAAGGTTCACTTGTAACTTACTAGTTGATTGCAAAACAAGAGAAAAACATTTAACATTTTTTATTTTATTTTTAGCAATACTATGTACTTAACCATTACCATTACTTTACAAAACTTACCCAGGCTCACAATATCATTTTACTCTCTTCAAGAAAACTTACCCAATGCTCATTATTTATATCCCTGTCCTCACCTGCCTGACACCCCTCCCACCTCAGCAACCTGGTACCTAGGAGCAATTTAAGAGGGGGGGGGGAAGCGAGAGAAACAAGTTGAAGAAAGAGTCCAAAAAAACAAAAAACATGGGTAACTCACACGGCTTCAACACTACACAGGTGCTCTGGACAAGGCGTCTGCCACCACATTGTCAGAACCCTTGATGTGTCTAATGTCCAGCCAGTGCGACTGGAGATAAAGTGACCACCGGACTAATCTTTGATTTGGACACTGTAACGTATTTAAAAAAACAAGCGGATTATGATCAGTATAAACCACGATAGGCACCAACCCGGACCCCAGATACACATCATAATGTTTCAGAGCCCACACTAAGGCCAAGGCTTCTTTTTCAATGGTCGAGTAATTGAGTTGGTAGGAGTTAAACTTTTTTGAGAAGAAACTCACTGGCTTCTCAATCCGAAAATCATCCTTCTGTAATAACACCGCCCCCACCCCCACGTGACTCGCGTCAACCTGAAGCGCAAACGGACGGTCAAACCTGGGGGCAGAAAGGATAGGCGCGTTACACAATACTGATTTTGCCCTGTCAAACGCCAGTTGACACACGGGAGACCACACAAAGACCGCGCTTGCCTTTAACAAGTCGGTTAATGGAGCAACTACCTCCGAGAAGTTTCTGCAGAAACATCGGTAATAACCTACAAGACCTAAAAAACGCATAAGCTCTTTTTTAGTCGAGGGTACCGGATAACTTGCCACTGCTTTTATTTTTTCTTCAACAGGACGTACCGTACCCTGCCCCACAACCCTACCAAGATAAGTCACTGTCGCTTTGGCGAACTCGCATTTGGCGAGGTTGACGGTGAGACGTGCCTCAGCCAAACGACTAAATAACTTCTCAATTCGCTCAACATGCGAAGACCACGTGTCAGAAACAACCACAACATCATCCAGGTAGACTGTGCAGCCTTCCAAATCTCCCAAGACTCTCGTCATAAGCCTTTGGAAGGTTGAAGGGGCATTACGAAGCCCAAAAGGCATTAACTTATATGAAAACAAACCAGTCGGAGTGATAAATGCCGATAACTCACGCGCACGCTTGGACAAAGGGACTTGCCAATAACCTTTCAAAAGGTCAAACTTGCTTACATATTTGGCATGGCCCACCTGATCGACACAGTCCTCCATGCGGGGAAGAGGGAAGGAATCCGGCTTTGTAACAGCGTTTAATTTTCTAAAATCAGAACAAAACCTGGGCGTGTTATCTGATTTTGGAACCAAAAGGCAAGGCGACGCCCAACTTGAAGAGGAGGGTTCAGCTATTCCGTTTTCAATCATATATTTTATTTCAGCATCCATGTATTTACGTTTTTCGGGGTTCACCCTATAGAATCTTTGACTGATTGGCTGCGCATCTCCAACATCGATGTCGTGCTCAATCAAGTGCGTCTGTGTGGGTGCGTCACTGAACAAGCCCGGGAAAGATTTTATTACCCGACACAAATCTGCCTGTTCTGACTCTGCTAAATGCCCCAAGAGGACGTGTAAATTCCTCAGGGACTCCGAGTTGTTTAGGCGGCCTTGAAGGACAGCGGTATCAACACACGGCAAACCATCCTCCACCTCAGCGGACACCGACTGTGGGGGATAAACAGTGGACACTCTCCCCACCAAACAAGCGGGGTGCGCACCAGCTGGGACAGGCTCTTGGGAAGCACCTGAAACACGAGCATAATATGGTTTTAACAAATTCAAATGGCACAGTTGGACTTTTCGCCTTCGCTCAGGTGTCGAAATAAGGTAATTGTTTTCCGATACTTTTTTCATCACTTTATAAGGCCCCGAATACTTAGCCTGAAGTGGCGAATTCACCAGCGGCAACAAAGCTAAAACTTGGTCTCCCATACTAAAAACACGGTGTTCAACACGCCGGTCATAGAGACTTTTCATCTTCTCCTGAGCTGCGGTTAAGTTTTCCTTTGCCAATTCACCAGCAGCATACAGTCTATGACGGAACCCATTTACATAGTCTATAAGATTTTTCGGTGCATCTGCAACCTTCCACTCATCGTAAAGAACCTTCAGTGGACCACGCACAACGTGACCAAACACTAACTCATTGGGACTGAAACCAGTGCTCTCCTGCGTTACCTCTCTGGCCGCCAGCATTAACCATGGTAATCCTTCCTCCCAATCTCTATCAAACTGAACGCAATAAGAGCGCAGCAATGATTTTAATGATTGATGGAAACGCTCCAAAGCTCCCTGACTCTGAGGATGATAAGCAGAGGCTTTGTTGTGCTTAATATGGAGCTGTTTCAACACTTGAGCAAAGAGATTGGAGGTAAAATTTGACCCTTGATCAGACTGGATCACTTTTGGAATGCCGAAAATGGAAATGAATTGTGACAGCGCGCGCACTACTGAACGCGCAGTGATCGTGCGCAATGGATACACCGCAGGGTAACGGGTGCTTTGGCACATGACAGTCAACAAATATACCGCACCAGAACGAGAGCGAGGGAGTGGCCCGACACAATCAACGATGAGGTGATCAAACGGCTGATTTACTGCAGGAATCGGGAGCAGAGGAGCAGGTGTAATTTTCTGATTCGGTTTTCCCGTGAGTTGACAGGTGTGACATGTTTTAATATAAGACGCTACATCTGTCTTAAGTCGCGGCCAAAAGAACTGCCTCAGGACCCGGTCGTATGTTTTTCCCACTCCCCAGTGTCCCGATTGGTCATGAGCAAGTTTTAACACCGACTCCCGGAATTTATCAGGCACGACGACTTGAATAACGGGATCTCCAACGAAATCTTTCCCATGAGGCATCCATTTCCGGACCAACAGTTCATTGTGTAAAAAATAACCCCAGGAATTATTTTCTACCTCGTCTTCAGGCAACACCATGTCAAACAACCCTTTCAAAGAGGAATCTGCCCGCTGCTCCAACTTCAACTCCTCCTGCGAAACCGAGAGAGGGACATCAGACAGAGAAAACGGCACAAACTTGGATTTCTCACCTCTACTCTTTGCAGCCTCCGAGCTTAACTCGGGAGTGTCACGTGTCATTGAGCGAGTGACTGCACACGCTGTAAAAACTTCAGGAAGACTGCTCTGATTCTCATCTGGTTGTCTTTTCACCAGCGGAACAACAGATACTACTGGTGGCGGCGGAGCTGGAGCATCAGCCCAGACACGTCCACCTGCTACACCGTTACCCAAAATCAGGGTGATGCCCTCAATTGGAAGTGCAGGTCGCACACCGACCGTTATCTGCCCCTGAAAGAGATCGGAATAAAGCAACATCTTGTGCAGTGGAACTTTCATTACAGTCATTCCCATTCCCACCACCGGAATAAAACTCCCAGTGTGACTTTTTTCAGAGAATGGCAACACAGAAGCCTGAATGAACGAATCAAAGGCAGCTGTATCACGCAATATTTTGACAGGAACTTTTTCATCACTTCCCACCAAAGAGACATGACCATTTGAGACAAAAGGCAAGAATGATTCGAGCTCTCCAGGTACAGCTTTACCCTTGTCACAGATTCCCAACTGCCCCGTAAGTATTCTTGGCTTCGAAACAGCGAGACATGCCGCTTTAGGCTGCCCCGCAGCTCCACTCTGTTTGTTTTTAGATTGTAGTGCAAAACAGTCCACTTTAAAATGTCCTCTTTTGTGACAGTAGTTACATATTTTGTCCGACTTGCTCGCCTCATGGCCTTTAAAGTCTAACTTCCCTACAGGAAGATTGTAACTCCCCGCACCGGCATCCATGCGCTCACTCAAACTGGACCTGTGAGCGCGCATCTCTCCAAAGGAGCGTCTGTGCGCCAACACATACTCATCAGCGAGCCTAGCGGCTTTATTTACATTTTCGACTTCATGATCATTAATGTGCTGCGCAATATTCTCTGGAAGAGAACTTTTAAATTGCTCCAAAATTACCAGGTCGCATAATTCCTCAAAGCTCTCGATTTTTAACGCGGAACACCATCGAGTAAAGTGACAAATTAAATCACGAGCAAACTCTAAGTATGTTTGTTTATCATTCTTTTTCCATGAACGAAAACGTTGGCGATAGGCTTCAGGGACAAGCTCATAAACTTTTAATACAGCAGATTTTACTAATTGGTAACTTTGGCTGTCTGACGCGGACAGGGCTGAATAGGCTTCTTGTGCTCTGCCGGTCAGCGCGCACTGCAACATTAACGTAAAAACAGATTCCGGCCACTTTCTGGACTCGGCAACGCGCTCAAATAACGAAAAAAATGTCTCCGGTTCTCTCTCATTAAATTTTGGCAACAGTCTCAAATTTCCCAAAACATCAAAACCATCAGGAGAACACGAGGAGGCATCCAAACCCGCAGAACCATCTCCGACTAACCTACCGCTTTTAATTAAATCCATCTGATTCTGCTGTAGTTGGAGTTTTGTCTGCTCAGTTTGAAATTGCAACCTCTCAATAGCCAACTGCGTATCCGTTTCCACTTGTTTTAATTTATCACGCTCTAATTGCAACATCATCATTTCTTTTTGCTGCTCAAAGGTGAAATTCGTCGCTGCAACAGATGGAGAATCAACTGCACCGGGAGGATCGGTCGCCATAACACCCATCTCATCCAAATTTGCTTTTAAAATATTTTTAATTGTGTCCTTTAACCGCCTGTCGGATATTTCGATTTCAAAATGATCTGCAATCTTAAGCAGCTGTTCCTTGGTGCATTTATTTAATAACTCGCTCGAAGGAGCCGCAACGAAGTCAGAAATATCCGACATTTCAATCACTCGCGGTTTCAAATCAAAAGAAATTTACTTACTCAACTACCTCGCGCACATCAGGTGTTATCCAACACCACAGAAATACCTACCGAGCTGCTTACGAAACAAAAAAGGTTGAGACACCCCGAACCCCTAACTACCTACCCCATATCTTACTAGGACCTCATCCTAGTCTTCGCTGGCGTGCCGAGCTCGAAACGTCACCAGACCCAAAATAACACCCCCGACCATGGCACGGTAGAGCGTGATATCCCGAGCCTTGCGCGCTCCCTCCTCAGGATTTGCCAGCAAAAACAACAAACTAAAACAAAAAAGTGACAAGTCCTGCTTGTCCGACGGCTAAACTCATCAGGGTGCTCAAAACATACAAACAAAAACAAAACCGACAAAATACCAACATAGCAGCTACGGCAAATAAACAAAATTATTATTATTTTAATCGTGAAACAATTTTTTAATAACCCCGTATCACCCCACGTAAAAGTGCCAAACCTGTTTCACAAAGCACAACCTCTGGGTTCCGAAACCTCCGAGTAGTAAGAGCGGTGACGTCACTAATTCACAACTTACTAAGTTCATTCACAAATCGAGTGAATCAACACCTACCGAGGTGAAAAAACGCAACAAACGGACGAGCCCCCATTTTGTCATGACCCGGCTCAAAGGCCATGAAAAAGATTGCGAGGCGTACGGGTTTAAACTTAAAACGAAAGATTTATTAGCAACCAAGATTAAGTAAATAATTGAAAACCCAAGAAAAGAACTAAACTAACAAAGCTTCTAAACTAAAACAAAACATTGTGCCACGAGGATCACTGCCGTGGTGCGCAGCGGAGGAGGGAGAGAGATACACTGATCCTTGATGAGGGCTTTTAACACCTGGTGGAATGGCCAGATCCACGCAGGTGTGGCCAAGCCCACTCACCAACCTGCCAGGGAGAGAGAAAAGACAAAGAACAACAGCAAACCCTGGAGGCCGGAGGCCATCACAGGCAGGAGGCCGTCACACCTCTCTATCAGCTCGAACCAGTCTGGCCATTCTCCTCTGACCTCTGGCATCAACAAGGCATTTCCGCCCACAGAACTGCCGCTCACTGGATATTTTTTCTTTTTCGGACCATTCTCTGTAAACCCTAGAGATGGTTGTGCGTGAAAATCCCAGTAGATCAGCAGTTTCTGAAATACTCAGACCAGCCCTTCTGGCACCAACAACCATGCCACGTTCAAAGTCACTCAAATCACCTTTCTTCCCCATACTGATGCTCGGTTTGAACTGCAGGAGATTGTCTTGACCATGTCTACATGCCTAAATGCACTAAGTTGCCGCCATGTGATTGGCTGATTAGAAATTAAGTGTTAACGAGCAGTTGGACAGGTGTACCTAATAAAGTGGCCGGTGAGTGTATATATATATTATTGCAATCACATGCTCTCTATTTCTTTTCAGCCTCGGCAAAGAGGGCCATATTGCCAGCTCAATCATCATGTCCCTGTGGTACACCTCTACTTTGAGGGGGGTAACCTGTGGAAGGACTTCAGGTTGACCAGGCCCTCCCTGGAGCACCTCATCCACCTTCTCAAAGGGGACCATTACCATGGATGGGGGAAGGCACTTGAGGTGTTTGTTTTTATTTACTGACTGGCCTGTGGCACATCATAACGGGTCGCCTCAGAGGCCTTCGACATCCCTCGTTCCACGTGCCACAATATGGTTCACCGGGTCAGCAACGACATCCAGCAAGTTTTCTGGAGATTTATCCGTTTGCCCAACAGGGCTGAGTTGGAGGAAATCTGGGCTGGGTTCCAGCAGTTGGCTGGTCACCCAGCTTTCTGCAAAGTGGCAGGATGCATCGATGGATGTCATGTCCGCATTGTGCCCCCTGGACAGTTTGAAGCAGACTTTTTTAACAGAAAACTGTTCCACTCTGTAAAGTTTCAGGCCATTGTGGACCACAAAGGACGCTTCCTGGATGTGCACATCGGTTTCTCTGGCTCCGTGCACGATTCCCGGGTCCTCAGGTGCAGCCCTGTGTACGTGCACCAGCTGTACCCTCCTCCAGGATGGTGCCTGTTAGGGAATGGGGGTTATCCCTGCATTTCTGTACTGCTTACCCTCATTACCACATTCAGGGAGCCTTTGAGGAATCCAACCCAAGAGAGGTTCAATGCCAGGCATTCTTGGGCAAGAAGTGTGGTGGAGAGGGCATTTGGAGTACTGAAAACCAGGTGGCGCTCCATATTTCTCAAGGCCCTGGAGGTGAAGGTTGACTTCGTTTCAGAGGTCATTGTGGACTGCCTTTTCCTCCACAACCTCTGCCTCGGGCACGGGGACATTTTGGAGCCAGAGGACGGTGAAGAGGTTGATGGGGATGATAACTGTGTGGCAGCAGCTCATGACCCAGCCCAACAGATTGGTGACGCCCTCAGGGATTGGATGGCAGCAGCAATATCAGTTCCTGAGGAGCAGATCCGTGCACTGAGGGAGCATGATTATTACTGAGCATTGTAATAATAGTCATTGTGAATAGTTAATGTTGTTGTTAGTTATATTGTAGTTGTATATAATTAGTATTATAGTATATAGTTAGTAGTATACTTATTATATTATACTTATACTATTTATACTTATACTATTATTATACCGTTATACTTATTATACTTATACTTAGTTAGTATTATACTTACGGTAATTATGGTTATACTTAGGGTTAGTATTATACTTATCTATCTATAGTAAGTAAGTGGTCTCTTGCATGTGAAAAAATGGATGTGGAGCTATTTTTGCACAAAAGAAGCATGTTTACACTACTCATAGGTATGTGGGTGATTCCATAACTGGTTTGAAATAAATACTATGCCATTCCTGCCTCTATTCCTTTATGTGCCGTGCAAATATGTTTAGATTAGTCACGGAACAAGAACAATCTTTTAATCATATAACTATAACAAAACCATGAAGCAACAAACTAAAACATTAGAAAAAATAGGTGATCAAGATAACAGAACAATTTGTCAACTTAAAACTTGGTCTGTAAAAAAAAAAAATCTAAATCTAATGAACTGATTATTTGGAATTAAACAGTCTCTTAATCAGCTTCATCCATCGTTCTTCTCTTGCTCTACTCTCCCTCTCTCTTTCCTCTCTCTCTCTCCTTTCTTCCATTGCTCTTCTAACTATCCACTTTCTCCATTCTCGCTCTTTTCTGTCTGTGTTGCTTCTGTCTTCCTCCCTCCACTCTCGCTCTCTTCTTGCCCATCTTTCCCCCATCTCTCTCTTTTCCTGCCTCTTCCTCTCCTCTGCCTGACGTTCCTGTTCCTCTATTTGCTGCATCCTTTCATCCTCCCTCTCCTCAAAGTCTTTCATCCACTCCTGAAACCACTCTCTGCTCCTTGACTCCTTTGACTCCTTTGTCCTCCTTCCTCTCACAGGAGACTCAGAATTTGGATTTGGAGGAGAGGCCACTGATGCTGGTGTCATGGATGAGGTGATGAGGTTGGGCGGTGATATTGTGGGACAGTCCCTCATCTCCTCATCCATGATATTAAACCATTTCCTGTTTGCAGCAGTGGCCTCTCCTCCCTCTGTGCTGACCCCTGTTGGTGGTGCCTTGGGTTCCTAACAAATGACACACAAACAAAGATAATCTGATAACATGGGTCCCTTTCACACTGACTGTTTGAACTCTGACATAGCCAGATTATATAGTAGAACCTAAAAACATAAGCATTCACTGTATCGGTGCGAAACCTTAATACTGAAGTGTTTGTCATACCTCCACTTACCTTATATTTCTGTTTGAGGTTTTCCCATTTCTTTTGGTAAAACCTGGCTCCACCTGGTCCTCCAGCCCATGCTCCTTGATGAAAGCCCTAAACAAGGATGACAAACAAGTGGCAATCAAAAGGGCATATGAATGTGGCGAGTGCCTACAAGCCACTGTCAGAACAATGTTAACATTTACCATTTACGTACAGAGTTACCATAATGTGTCCTCGAGTTCTCCATATTCATATTATTTCTGAATTAGGCAGTAGCTTTTTCCCCATCTCGAAATCAACCAATAGCAACAACTTATACTAATTGAGTGCAATATGGAACATAACGCTCAAAACAAGCAAGACGTATTGGGTAATGAGGCATGATGGCCGAGTCGGTAACTCTCGTATTATGGTCTGTCGAGTGGTGGGGGGCGTTTGCGGCTCGTAGAATGCTGCTCTGATAACAACAAAGTTTGAGGCCGTCATGTTGTTGAATATATTCATTTATCAAGCACGCTTTGGCAAACCCATCCAGCTCCTCTTGGAGACGAGTGAGCTATAGATGAGCTATATGTGCTTTACTCAAAACACTTTATGGCGGCGTTTCTTTTGCCTGTGGGGCCTGGAGCTTTCAAGAAAATGGGACTTTGTCTCATTTATATAGAATATTGCCTATTATTTTAATCTTACCTCAGAAATGTGGCTAGCCGCTCCTCTGGACCAATTGGTAGGCTGACTGGTCATCGAGCAAAGCATAAACTCAAACGTCAATACAACTATTATCTGCGTAGTTATGTGCCACAATATAAAGTTAAATAACTTACATGTATAAGCGCTTTGTTGTTGGTGCTGTAAACTGCTGCCAGCTGTCTCCATTTTGTATTTCGTCTTCCCGAATCAGAAGTGCACAATGCATTGTGGGGCAGAAGCAGTACGTGACGCAAGCTCTGCTCCATACTCAGAAATCGGAGCTGATTAAGTATACATCTGGGCATTTCTCGCATACACAAAATTCGTGTACTGTACAGTGTGAACGCACTGCCTACTCGATTTGGGGGTGGTGTTAGTATGAGCAGTACGAGTAGTATGCCATTTCGAACACATGATAGACTTTTCATAGGGGTAGCTTTTTATATTTTTTCTCATATTATGTTATTTTCCTCAATAGGCGAATTTTTAGTTAACTCCAAAAGCAACACAGAAAGTCAAAAGCACATTAAAAGTTCGACATCTTCTTTTTGGGTCACACTGCTCTTTTCTATAAATGAATCAAACCTGTGTCTAATTAAATGAGTTGATGAAAAAGTTGTCAGTTTCAGCAAATTTGCCTGCCCTGTTTCCAGAGCTTTCCCTTTTTTTAAATTCTTGCCTTCTCCACGCCACACCTGCTCGAATTTCCAACTTTTAAACACCACTGACCAAGTGCACAGACATGTTACGTCATGGTGCATCTGCAAGAATAAACAAACAAAAAGAAAGCTGCTCATGAAGGCAGCCCAGGAACAGTGGAGGAGCATACGTGCTTAACCCAATGCCATGACTTAACACAGGCTGTGGCCCAAACATCAGGCCAGCCCACCAGGAATTGTCCCGGTCCTCCTGATTAACTACTCTGGTCTGGTTACACCTTACAAGAAGTGAAGAGTTACAGACTCTGACAGTGAAGTCCAGCTACTGTCAGAACCCAAATAGGTGATTTAACTGGACTTAAGGTCCTTACACACCAGGCGCGAATTCGCCAGGCGAATTATTCGACTTTATTCGCCTTTTTTTCAAACAGCATAAAGTCAATGCAAGTTCCACACCGGCTGCGATTTTTTCACTCTTGTGTCGAATTTTTCGGATATTTGCAGACGAATATCTGGACCTGCTAGACCTCTGGCCAATCAAAAGTCATGTTGTTGAATATATTCATTTATCAAGCACGCTTTGACAAACCCATCCAGCTCCTCTTGGAGACGAGTGAGCTATAGATGAGCTATATGTGCTTACCTTGGTTGTAACGGGTGGTTATTTGAGTCACTGTTGCCTTTCTATCAGCTCGAACCAGTCTGGCCATTCTCCTCTGACCTCTGGCATCAACAAGGCATTTCCGCCCACAGAACTGCCGCTCACTGGATATTTTTTCTTTTCTCGGACCATTCTCTGTAAACCCTAGAGATGGTTGTGTGTGAAAATCCCAGTAGATCAGCAGTTTCTGAAATACTCAGACCAGCCCTTCTGGCACCAACAACCATGCCACGTTCAAAGTCACTCAAATCACCTTTCTTCCCCATACTGATGCTCGGTTTGAACTGCAGGAGATTGTCTTGACCATGTCTACATGCCTAAATGCACTAAGTTGCCGCCATGTGATTGGCTGATTAGAAATTGAGTGTTAACGAGCAGTTGGACAGGTGTACCTAAAAAGTACTGATAGTCCTTGAGCCGGAACAGATGTCGGTACCACTTGGGTGGGCAAAACCTTACATATACTAAATTGTTTTTAGGGTCAAGATAAGTAAATAAAAATATGATAGACTTTTCATAGGGGTAGCTTTTTATATTTTTTCTCATTTTGTTATTTTCCGCAATAGGCGAATTTTTGTTAACTCCAAAAGCAACACAGAAAGTCAAAAGCACATTAAAAGTCACACTCTTTTTGGGTCACACTGCTCTTTTCTATAAATGAATCAAACCTGTGTCTAATTAAATGAGTTGATGAAGTGGGAGTGGCCCAATTTGATGGTGGAGCAGTTCTTTCAGGTATCATAGCACTTGAGCCAAGAACCAAAATTTCACATATCGGTACCACCTGGGTGGGCAAATTCTAGTTGTGATTTTTTTATTGCTACACATCCCTACAATAAATTTTTATATGATAGACCTTGGTAACTGGTAGCTTTATTGTAGTTATCACTCATTGAAGTAATAGAGTGCAGCTGTTCAAAAATAAAAAATAGCATTATCCTGCTGAAAGTAGCCATCAGAAGTTGGGTACATTGTGGTCATAAAGGGCTGGAGATGGTCAGCAACAATACTCAGGTAGGCTGTGGCGTTGCAACAATGCTCAATTGGTACCAAGGGGCCCAAAGAGTGCCAAGAAAATATTCCCCACACCATGACACCACCACCACCAGCCTGAACCGTTGATACAAGGCAGGATGGATCCATGCTTTCATGTTGTTGACGCCAAATTCTGACCCAACCATCCGAATGTCGCAGCAGAAATCGAGACTCATCAGACCAGGCAACGTTTTTCCAATCTTCTATTGTCCAATTTCGATGAGCTTGTGCAAATTGTAGCCTCAGTTTCCTGTTCTTAGCTGAAAGGAGTGGCACCCGGCGTGGTCTTCTGCTGCTGTAGCCCATCTGCCTCAAAGTTTGACGTACTGTGCGTTCAGAGATGCTCTTCTGCCTACCTTGGTTGTAACGGGTGGTTATTTGAGTCACTGTTGCCTTTCTATCAGCTCGAACCAGTCTGGCCATTCTCCTCTGACCTCTGGCATCAACAAGGCATTTCCGCCCACAGAACTGCCGCTCACTGGATATTTTTTCTTTTTCGGACCATTCTCTGTAAACCCTAGAGATGGTTGTGTGTGAAAATCCCAGTAGATCAGCAGTTTCTGAAATACTCAGACCAGCCCTTCTGGCACCAACAACCATGCCACGTTCAAAGTCACTCAAATCACCTTTCTTCCCCATACTGATGCTCGGTTTGAACTGCAGGAGATTGTCTTGACCATGTCTACATGCCTAAATGCACTAAGTTGCCGCCATGTGATTGGCTGATTAGAAATTGAGTGTTAACGAGCAGTTGGACAGGTGTACCTAATAAAGTGGCCGGTGAGTGTAAGCTTCAATTAGCCAATTGTCAGGTCTAAATCAAGGTCTAAATTAAGGATATTTTTTTACTTAGAAGTAGAAGTAAAGTAAATGCAGACTAATAGCATCATAATAACACAACTTTAATATGACACTGACATATTTTAAATGCAGGAATTCAATATACAATGATCCTGGCTGGTGCAGGGCAAGAAGACATTAGCAACAAAATAAGATCTACTTATGTATACATTCTATACAATCATCTGAGAAAAACTCCATTCCTCCACCAAGAACTTGATGAGACTGGCTTTGTTGGCAGGGCTGCAGAGAAGTTTCCTCCACTGCTGAATATTGTGGCCAGAAACAATGTTTCTGAACTGGATCCCCATGTCTGCACCTCTGTTTAGTCTTTCTGAATTTTTGATTGACATGTCCTTGTAAACGTCAATGACAACATCAATCTTTTAACTATCACCACCTTCACGCAGGACCTTGGCTAAAGTTGAGTCCAGCCAGCTTCCACCATGTCATGATTGCGTATTAATGCATTTGATTCGTGCCAACTACCAGGCTGCTATCTGGAGACGGTCTCTTCATACCAAGCCATCTGTACCAAGCCCCAAGGACCATGGGTGGACCATAAATGACGAAGGGCAGCTGGAAATACAGTGGATGCGTGGTTCCCCAGCACCAGATGCGGTCTTGCAGTTGCTATGCTGCAAGTGTGTGAGGACATGCAAACCACCGGACTGCACCTGTCTCAGCAATGGGCTGAAGTGCACAAACCTGTGCAAATTACAAACTTGTGCCAACCAGTACAGTGAGGAAGAGCCCCTTGCACACCGGCAGATTGAGATGTAGAAGAAGATACAGATACTGATGTTGATTAATAAATGATGACCAAAGGGAGCTATGTTAACAGACCCACTGTGACTCAGTGACAGTATTATGTACTAAGCCAAAACTTGACAGTCATATTTGCTGTCACTGTTCCTTATGGAAAGAATAGGACTTTGAATAGGAATTTGAGTTTTTCTCAGATGATTGTATAGAGTGTATACATCAGTAGATCTTATTTTGTTGCTAATGTCTTCTTGCCCTGCACCAGCCAGGATGATTGTATAATGAGTGCCTGCATTTAAAATATGTCAGTGTCATATTAAAGTTGTGTTATTATAATGCTATTAGTCTGCATTTACTTTACTTCTACTTCTAAGTAAAAAATTATCCTTAATTTAGACCTTGATTTAGACCTGACGATTGGCTAATTGAAGCTTATATATACACACCTGTATTAGATAAATTATTTGAAATACTACTTAGGGGGTTATTACAAGTCTCTATGGCTAGCCAATAGTTCAAAAACACCTAAATGAGAGGTTAAAATGAAAGAAAGCTAATTTTGAAGGAAGGCGATTTTTCATTTTTGAACAGCTGCAC